GGACGCCCCCGGGGTGGAAGTTCCTGCGCCTTCGTGGGGGGGTCTGCGGACTGCCGCCCCCCTCCCTTTCTTCATCCCCCCCCCCCCCCCCCCCCCACCAACCTCACTCACTCGCGAGACCAGACTGCACCCCCTCCCCCACCCCTGGTCTGGCTCCAATCGACCCCAGTCCCTTCAGGAGGTGGTCGATGGAGTGGTCAGTGGGTGGTAGGCTGACACAGAGTCCCCTGCCACAGAGGGAGAATGCGTCGGCTCACAGGATCCTACATACGCTCTCTCTCTCCCGCTTGTGTTTACGATTGACTCAAAAATCTATAAAATTGTAGAACCGCATGCGCTGAAGGATGGCTGAATTTCCAAACACTCCACGGTGCGTTAGGGTGGCTCCTGCACAGCTCAGAGTTCCCTGTGGAGCCCCTCGACGAACTGGTGGTAATGTCTTTCTGCAGGGGGCAAAACACACACCGACCGACCGATTAAATGTCTGCTTCAAATGGGGATGGGGATGGGGGAAGCATTATCCCACAATTCATGCCTCCACTCTCAAAACCGGGACCGCGCAAGGTGCGGGGAGCCGTCACAGGGCATCAGCGGATCCCTCCCCTCCCTCCCGGATCTCACCGTTATCGGCATGCAGGATCCCGCGTCTGATGAGGAAGTCCAGTGCGACCATCGCGCAGTTTGGTTTGAACTCGGGACCTGCGAGGGTCTCTCTCACCTGTAGGCAGACGAGACGAGCGAGAGGTTTTAAAAATACCAGCCGGCATTCACAGAGCGGGGCGCTAACAGGCTGCTGTGCAGGATCCGCTGGGAAGGATTGATCGTGAGAAGTAGGAACGGTACAGGCCCTTCGGCCCACGTGCCAACCTATTATCCTACGAAGATCAATCCACCCTACATTTTACTATCCTCCGTGTGCCTCTCCGAGAGTCGCTTAAAAGTCTCTGACCCCACTACCGCTGCCGGCAGCGCATTCCACACACCCCAACACTGTGTGAAGAACCTACCTCTGACATCTCCCCTATACCTTCCTCCAATCACCTTAAAATTATGCCCCCTCGTAATAGTCATTTCCGCCCCTGGGAAAAAGTCTCTGGCTCTCCACTCTATCAAGTCACCTCTCATCCGTCTTCGCTCCAGCGAAAAAAGCCCGAGCTCCCTCAACCTTTCCTCATAAGACCTGCCCTCCAGCCCAGGCAGCATCCTGGTAAATCTCCTCTGCGCACTCTCTCTAAACCCTCCACATCCTGCCTAGAACGAGAACTGAACACAATATTCCAAGTGCAGTCAAACCAGAGTTTTATAGAGCTGCAGCATAACGTCGCGGCTCTCAAACTCGATTCCCCTGAGCTGACTCCTCACCTCCTCTTTCCCGTAACCCCTTGTTCCCCTCGACCGATAAAACAGTCTCAGCCTTAAATATCGGCGGGGCTCTGGGACACAGTGCGGGGAGAAGCTGTTGTTGGCACAAGCCTCGACACAAAAGATTGCGAGGACTCAGAGAGGGAGAGAGAACTCCTCTCGTCTCGGTCTTAAATTGGCACCTCAGAGACTGGTGCCCTCTGGTCCCAGACCGTCCATGTTTCAACGAAATCGCTTCTCACCCTTCCCAGCTCCAGGGCGTGGGAGTCCCAGTCTCGTTTGGCCTCTGTGCACGAAGCAGGGATCAGCTCGACTCTGAACTGCTTCCAAACGCCACTGGTATCTTTGCCCCCTTGAAATGAGGGGACCAGACCTGCTTGGGGTGGTCCCACCAGCGCCTTGGACAGTTACAGCGAGACTTCCCCTGCTCTCACCTGATCCAGGGGCCAGAGGTAGAACTCCAGCACTTCCCCGTCGCCCACCGTCGGCTCAAACCCAGCGGGGACCTCCAGGTCGTACACGAACTGACACTCGGGGAAGACTCCCGCCTCGTCCTCGTAGGTGTAGCTGCCGTTCCCCCATTGAGGGGGGAGGGAGAGAGAGGAATCGTTAAAACATGGGACGAGGCAACAACGATGGAGTGGGTCCGGGCGGTACCAGGAGCGGACATTCCCCGGACCCCCCTCTCTCCCCCACGAGCCCAGGTCTGGTTTACCCTCGTTCTGAAGCCTGTTACGGCCTCCTGTTGCTGTGTAACAGGCTGGAGGAGGGGCCGAATGGCCTCCTGTTTCTCTATAAAAGGCTCGGGGTGGGGGGTGGGGGGGGCAAATGGCTGCCTGTTGCTATGTAAGAGGCTGTAGG